GAACTACACAATATAAAATCAAGCATGTTTTAGTGTAGACTTTTTGTCACAACAAGACTGCAACCTAGATAGTAAAAACTTTAAACAGAACTCCTAATGTCTGCTAACAATTTTTCGTATAGTCCTAATGTGAGCCTTGTCTCTAAAAACTTAACTGAACTAGCGTTTTGGTGTGTGCAAAAGCTCCCAGGCACGCGCATTCCTTGCCCCGTTAGTTACCTGTCCTTCCAAAACCAAACAAGCAGTCAAGGACAAAAAGTCATACACCAAATGGGCATTATATTTTATGAATTGTTTTACATCTTTTTATTCTGTAAAATGTGCTAAAATTAAATTTCTTGTTTCATTGAAAAAATTTCTTGTTTCATTGACTTAAATAAATGTTGCTAGTGGAGTTATTGGTTTTAAATCTCTGTCTTTTCTAAACATACTAAAACCTTAACCCATTAGGGACGACGAGTTTTAAAGTTTGCCGATTTTGATGCCGTTTAACACACTAGGTCACTTTACAGCAAAAATGAGATATCCAAAAAAGCTAATCTGTATCTCGTTTACTTTAAAAGATACAGCTATGGTCGCATACGACCCACTCGTCCGGGTCGCAAACGACCCATCACGGTTTTTCGGCTTTAACTTCTGAAACAACAGACGTTAGGATAAAATAAAATAAAAAGCATAAGTTAAAAACATATGGTCAATACTGTGTGACTCTAACTTTTTAAAAATAAAGAATTTGGGTCATTAACGACCCACTCGGCTCACTTGCTTATTACTACATATGTCCATGTAACTTCTTGAATTCAGCCTAAAGCATGACATCATAAGTTCAAAATCGCCTCTCAGCAAGTGATAACCATCATAAACTGCAAAAAATCGGTTAAATGGGTCATTAGCGACCCACTAAGACCACAAAATCGATTAATTAAATATAATGTTGTCAAACTTTTACAAATATTAGTATAAAAACATGTTATATCTTGGTCATTACTCCTGTACCTTGATTTAAATTTTAAAATCGATCAACTGGGTCAATAACGACCCACTCGGAAGTTGAACCACGACATTAATTATCAGTATCATGTTGTTCTACCATCAAGAAAGACACTCGTAGGTCTTAATTCCACGCAAACCACGGGTGGCTGACTACTAGCCCTTCTGAGATCTGGAGTCTCACGGTAATCTGCAGATCACGTCACCCAATGACTGACGAATAATGGGCAGAATTGGATTGATAGGTAGGTGAGTTTATCAGCTGTTAGTACACGACCGTAATGTCGTGAGACAGCAAACAACATGCCTATCTTTTCCCGATTCCTAGAACGTCCAAGAAGAACTATACAACTGCTGGATTCAGATTTCAGATGGCTGCATCTACTCTCTTCGCAGCTCCCTTTCTTTACTTCTTAGGGGCCGTTCATATATTACGTAATCACTTATTGGACAATTTTTACGCCCCCCCCCCCCCCCCCCCCCACCACATATAGCTATTATGTCAAAATTACACAAGCTTAATCATTTGGAAACTCCCCTCCCTCTCGGCCGATTACGTAATACTTGTTTTCGTTTTGAAAGCTGCTTCGTTGTTGCGGGGTTTGTTACCCAAAACGAGGTAGTTGTCTGAGAGATTGCAGGTTGCAGCACCGCCAGCCAAATGGGGGGGGGGGGGGGGGCTTTTTCCTTGTCCTTCTTCACAGAGCTGTAGATGTAGCCATCTGAATGCAGCAGTTGTTTAGTTATTCTCGTACTTTCTAGGAATGAAAAAAACATATTGGCATGTTGGATTAGAATATGCAATTTGACCACTCGTCTTTCAGTATTTACCCAAGGTTACATGATATCTCGTATACTTCGTTCAGGGGATTTTTCTTGAGTGACATGATCTGATCACCGTGGGACCCTGGGTCTCAAGCGGTGGGTTGTAGCAGGTCGTTTACCAAGATTCGAAATTGACGAAAAAGGTAACAGAATCTAATAAGCAACAACAACAGCATGGCTATTACCTAGCAAGTTAGGAACGAGGGCCGATTCCTTTTCTTTTGCGGCACGGCCACGGTCCTTTCGGTACAGATTTCCACGCACCATAGTATTATAGTCAGGACGCAACTCCAGGCATATGCAGTAGTGTTATTCTCGCAGCTCTTTGATGAGTGATGACGGCCCTTCAGTTGGCCCTGGATCTCAGAAGGGCTAGTAGTCAGCCACCCGTGGTTTGCGTGGAATTAAGACCTACGAGTGTCTTTCTTGATGGTGGAACAGCATGATACTGATAATAATTGATGAGGTGGTTCAACTTCCGAGTGGGTCGTTATTGACCCAGTTGATCGATTTTAAAATTTAAATCAACGTACAGGAGTAATGACCAAGATATAACATGTTTTTATACTAATATTTGTAAAAGTTTGACAACATTATATTTAATTAATCAATTTTGTGGTCCTAGTGGGTCGCTAATGACCCATTTAACCGATTTTTCGCAGTTTATGATGATTATCACTTGCTGAGAGGCGATTTTGAACTTATGATGTCATGCTTTAGGCTGAATTCAAGAAGTTACATGGACATATGTAGTAATAAGCAAGTGAGCCGAGTGGGTCGTTAATGACCCAAATTCTTTATTTTTAAAAGGTTAGAGTTACACAGTATTGACCATATGTTTTTAACTTATGCTACAGTTTTTCTTTTATCCTAACGTCTTTGTTTCAGAAGTTAAAGCCGGAAAACCGTGATGGGTCGTTTGCGACCCGGACGAGTGGGTCGTATGCGACCGCAGTTAGTAAACAGCGTCTAGCTCTGTTTGTGAACATCTGATTATCACGGGCTTTTCATATGTCTCAAGGAAATCGTTGCCCGCAACTATTTTGTCCTCAACAAAATAAGCCTACATAAAGTTTTAATGTCCCAATCAAGGCAAGAAGTAAAGTGAAATATTTTCCAATTATGACGACTAATTAGCCTAATTATTTAGTTGTTAGTAATTAATTGGGTCTCGACTGGAAAGTCAATAATGTAGCCCAATAAATTTTGAGCATATGTGCGAAAGATTCGTTGCGTTTAGTATTATGGTTTGTCCACTATAGCCTCTAGAAAAGGTGGGTCGTAAACGACCCTATCGTCCCTAATGGGTTAAATAAAAATTTCAGCATCTAAAATATAACTATTCAAATGAGTTTCTGTAATGCAGATTACATGTGAATGGATTTATAAACTGATAGAATACATTTTAGTTCAACAATTTTATTAAATAGTCCATTAGCATTAGTGTAAAAAATATTTATGGGCTGACTACATTCTTTGTTACTGCTATTTACTTCTTCTCCACCTTCTTCTCTGTCTTTTTCTTCTCTGCTTCTTCCTGCCTCTTCTTCCTCTCTTCTCTGGCTAAAAAACGGATCTCTCGGTCTGCTCTGCAGAGATCCAGATTTATCCAGTATGATGACTCTTTCCAGCCCTTGCCATGGTTGGGATAATAGTTAACTGATTCCTCGTCAGCTGTCTGGATGATCAATGGCCGACAGGAATCTAGCTTATCTGAATCCACTTTACCTGCCCGATGGCAACTGATTTAAAAGTCAATTTTTTCAATCTTAAGTGTCTCCTTGCAGAACTTCGAGTCCTCTTCCTGGCATAGCTTGGAGTTAGCTTTCTTGCTCTCTGGTACATTCAAAACACACAGTGCAACAAATTTTTAGTGAAACAAATTTAAAATTTTATCCTTTATTTTACAATCATAATATAATAATATTTATAAGCCTCCGTTTTGAAAGTTTTAAATTTTAATATATTTACATTTCTATTTAAAATTCAATTTAATGTATAAGTCAATAACTGGCCGCCAAAGCCGCGCATTCTTGAAAACAGGATTAAATTGTTTATGATTATACGATAAATAGAAATAAATTTAAACTATCCGTGGTTTTTTTTAATGAACTATAATCTTACCTAAATCCAAAGCCAGCTTTGTAAAATTTACTATTAGATCATAATATATCGTCAATTCTCAATATTTACAATGCAACATTTCATTAATCTACATACAAGCGTACTCCAGCCCCTGCACGCATCCGTTCTTATGCGGCGCGGCTCAAGCCGCGCACGCACGTATTATTTTATACTTTTTGCTTTCTAATAAATATCGTGTCAATGTGTACGTCTAAATGTTCATGTTTTGTGTAAACCGAATCCAATTGAGATTAGTGACAAGGATAAGGACCCAAGTGCCTGTACGGCTTTTTCGGACCCCTGTGGACCACTACTCTTGAAATCGCTCTACAACTATTGAACATTTATAACTGTTATATAATATATAACGTCATTTGACAATTATTATCATTAATCTACAATCTAACTGTCTTGCTGAGGGGGAGGAGTAAACGCTTCACAAACTAAAATATAATACTTACAACATACAAAATTTAAAACCATCAACACGGTTATAGTTAATATCAAGGGCCAATTTGGTATACCGCTATTTCGTTGTAATATCTAGTATATCTTTACATTTTAATACAATAATGAAATACAATAGGATACATGTTTCGAGAAAGAAAGGTTGGTCCGATTATTAACAAAAGTAAACAAAAGTCCATCAGGGACTCCACGGAGTCGAAAAAGGTACACGGCTGCTGTCTGGTGCTGCTAGGCATTTATTGATCAAGATGTTTTATTGTATTGGTTTTTGATGATTCTATTGTTCGTGACTAATCAAGTTCTAAATGAGGGGTATAAAGTGCTGCTTAAGATACTTCGTCATCTCATGTCCAGTATAATGAATAAGATAGTAAACAATACAGTTTCAGTAGTTGACCCATACAGTTAAGTCCGTCATAACTCACAATTGTTTAATCATCTGTCAATTGTCACACAGATTGAGCTTTCTTAAATTTCGCTCATATGCATCAGTGTGCATCTTTGTCTATTTACCTCCTTTTCTGCTGCAGCACCAGTTTTCTCTGGACTTTTCTCGACATTTCGTTTCCGTGTCGTTTCTCCTCGTGTCATACCTCAAATTATTTGTTATATAGTAGTGTTGAAAGTATTAAAACTAAGTTCTAGCTTTGTTATAATATTGGAAATCCTGCCTTATCTATTTTAACAATCCCAATAAATGTGTCTGTCTGTCTGTCTGTCTGTAATTTACGAACGGTTTAATCAAGGAAACGGTAAGAGATATGGGATTGGTTTTTCGATATAGTGCCAACAAAACTTTGACGAAGCCCTCGCTCTCGCCCTCACCCTTACCCTCGCCCTTACCCTGTCCTTGCCCTTGCTCTCGGCAGGGGACCTCAAGATTCAAGATATACTATCAAGTATTACTATTAGATACCTGATGGGCATTTATAATTAAATTACAGTGGGTTTGAACTGAGAGAGTCCCACCAGCCGCCTGTGCTTGATTTCTACTTCTAGTTTGTTCTATTTAAACTATGCACTCAACACAGTAAATTGAATTAAACTTTTGCACGATGAATCAGCCCTGCCGAAAGATCCTGAATGAGTAGAAAACTGGATAGAGAAATGGCTCTTTCTGTTTTGTAAATGTGCTACAGTGTTTCACTCGAAAATTAAGCATTTCAGAGTATATTTTGCTTCATGGGTTGTCTATAAACTATTACAGGAATTTTGCACTCATGTAGAAGCTTCTAGGACCTCCACAGCCCAAAATACCACATGTGTGACTTCTCACTCTATATGCAAAACCAAAAATTGTATATTCCATGTAACTTTAACATTTAATTGGAAGGGAAATATTTTAGGGTATATTTTTTGTTATTTTATAACTTTGGAGGACTTCGCCGCTTCGACGCGCCGCGCAAACTAGCATTCTTGCTTCGCAGAGCAACGATCTCGACGGATTGACATCGTCAATCAATTTATAACTCAAATATAAATGTGCAAGTCACATTCTTCCTGAAGTTCCTCGCACAAATTTTTTAAATCGTAAATTGAAAAAACAATGGTGGTTGGACACATTTTTTACCATTATAGTAGAGGCTCTTACGGGCTTTGTCTGCTAGATACACTAAAATCACCAGACCCATCTTAAAAGACGTATTTTTGACCGTAGAATCGATTAAAAGTAGTTAGAAGTGTTTAAAATGGGGGGTTACCTGGTTTTATTTTGAAAAAAACGATTTTTGGCCCCAAAAATGGCCATTTTTTGAGGTTTTTTAGAAATTTCGACAGGTTAATTCAATCGAAAAGCTTAGATATTTTGGGTTCTTGCACATTTTTATTTGCCGCACTAGTTAATACCAATATAATAGGCATACACAAGAGTTTACCTGGTCAAAATTTTAAAAAACCTCCCAAAAAAAATGTTTTTTTGCGCGCTAAATTTTTTCTGCTCTTTACACACCCACAATGAAATATTTTTGCCCACAAAGTGTTTTAATACTGTTCAACAATACTATTTGATAGTTTTTCAGCGTAAAAACAAGTTTTGAAAGCGGAAGAAAAAATTATATTTTTCGTGGTGCTGAGCACTTTGAAATTTTTTGAATAAAATCGAGCGCTACCGTAAAATTTTAGTAACCCTTCCCTGAAACTCATTTAAGTTTTTGTACCGGTAGTGTTTTGTCCTTTTCTGAAGTTCATGCCTTCTCTGGCTTAATTTCATATAATATTGTTTAAAACAGCACAGTAAAGTGTTTTATAATAGTAGAGTGCCATTTCTAATACTTCAATGTTATATTGTTGAGATACCTTTACTTGGCTGATTACCTTTTGTTAATACAATTTCACCAATTTAGTATTGCATTGCTTATATGACTATTTGGATTTATAATTTATCGATTGTGGGTATGAATTAACTTTTGGTTCACAATCAACAATAAAATGTCTACTGTATGGTACCCTTACAAGATTAATTATAGATCTTTTGACAGGAATGCCTGACTTAAACCCCCTCATCCATCACTCATTCTGTGTTACCTGTTGGATGTGGAGGAACCCTACCACAAACTGAAATATTGTAAAGGTACCCTTCAGTACATAAATAGAGCACTGTAAATAATATAGATTAGTTACTGCTATCTTCTCAATGCAATTTTGAATACATGTCAGGAACACCTGACTTAAACCCCCTCATCCATCACTCATTCAGTGTTGCCTGTTGGATATGGAGGAAATCTACACCACAAAGTGGAATATTGTAAAGGCACTCTTCAGTACACATAAAATAGAGCACTGTAAATAATATAGATTAGTTGCTGCTATCTTCTTAACATGATTTTGAATTTATAAATAGTAGTAGAGTAAATGTCAGGAATGCCTGACTTAAACCCCCTCATCCATCACTAATTTCGAATAAATGTATAGATGCTGCATTGAATTCATGAAGATATCATTCGTTTTGAGCAATCATTCCCTTAGCTCCCCCATTCTTTGATTGTTTCAAAGAAGTAGTCAAACTACAATATGTATTGTTTAGTTACATCTTTAGGTAGGGTGCCCCGCTTAAAGAACTGGATTCTTCCAGGAAGCATCCCGTGCACAGACCTTGGTCTACATATATATTAAATTATTAACCATTCATTCTGTATATTGTGCACGAAAATTTATTTCAATCAAAAACATCTATTGCTTGTTATTTAAGCCATTTCATCTCTAGTAGATTCAAATAATTTCTGCAATTCTGAATTATGTTGCTGAACAAACTTGACAATCACCATTAGAAAGAAGGTGACATGTTTATGGACCCAGAACTAGCTAAGACAGCTAAGACTCTGTGTACATGCGAATCACTTCAAGAATCTTCTTGATGAAAGAAGCTTGTGTGGTTTGTTAAAAGACTTCGATCCGCTCACAGCCATGCAGATTAAGACGAATTTAGATCGACATTATTTTGATAACAATGAAAACTCAAATGGTTTGATTTTTAGCTAAATTACCATAATTATTATAATTAATTAAATACAGGCTGACAATGTTTCATTTCACAAAATGTATCTGAATAATGTAATTTTAACTGAATCTTAAGCTGTTCAAAAAGCTTTGTTAGATGATGTTATCGATGCTGTATAAGTTGAAACCTTTTGATGATGAGAGGTACATGAACAAACCTACACTAAACAATACTACATTCCAGCTTGAAACGAAATGAGTGGAGTTGAACGACGCCTGTTTATCGAAACTACATCAATCAACTTTTCAACTATGCAGGTTATTAATGAAATGAAATGAAATACTACTACTTTGTCGGAACTAAGTCCGATCTACGCCAGATAACCCCCTCCATATATCCCTGTCCCGCATCAGAGTTCACAGTTCCTCTTTTGAGTTTGTCCCAATTTCCTTCAGTAACATAGACAAGTAGCTTTGTCTTGGTCGGCCTTGCTGTGCTCTACAATGCATAGGTTTCCATTAGACTAAATCACTGGCAAGTAGCTCAGGATGTCTGATGCAGTGTCCTGCCATTTTTAGTCTCCTGCTTCGTAACTTGATTGACAGCCTTGGTAGACTACCATACAAAATTATATTACTGATTAAAAATTATATCACACATTTTTGTGTGAACATTTTCAAATCGTTTGGGTGGGTGCAACACCCTTTGGGTGGGTGCGCACCCACCCGAACCTACACGGTGGAGCCATGCCTGCTTTGGCTATATGTTTCATTTCCAAGACCAACCGCTGATGGATAACTCGATCTTCAGGTGATCGATCTGGAGAGATGAAAACAGTCTTAGGATCTTCACACAGTCTCAGCTTTTTGGCATTTACTAATATCTGATGAACGGTAAGTTAGAATTATCTAGCGAAACTTTGACTGGTCTAGTCTTGTTGGCTGATTTTCTCCCAACCCAGATAGCTTCAAAACGTGGTTTTTCTTCAATCTGCTGAAAAATCACGGTAACTTTATTGCACAGTTCCTCTTCATCAGTCTCCTTCAAACCAAAGATGAGCACATTCCTACTGCGATCCTCTTCCGATACACCATTCTGTACAACCTTTTTTAAATTCTCTTCTGCAAGCACAGGTGCATTTTTAGTCACAGCTTGACTGTATGACTTCATCTCAGCTTGGACAGTGTCTTGAACGGCGGTCTTGACGGTGGAGTGCATGGATTCCAACTGCTTCGATTTAGTTTCCAGAAGTTCAGCCTGCAGCTTGATAACAGTACTTTGCGATCGGATAAGATCGCTCTTCAACTCCTCCATATCTTTCTTGTTATCCAGAAACGTACTTACATGATTATCGGTAGTCTGATACGCAGAATACAAATTATAAATGTTTTACTGAAACTGACTTCACTGGCTTTTTGAACGTTTCAACTGAAAACTCAGATTTATTGTCACAGTTCGTAGCTTCCGCGAGTTCAGTGATCCAACCGTTATAGACCTCATACTCTTCAGTAATGTAGCTAGGTAGAATAAACTGACAATCTTTGAAGAGTATCCATTTCCTCCATCGATTACTTGTACTTGTATAAAGTAAAAACACAGTACCAGCAAAATGGCAGTTGTAATGTAGCGATAAAATAGAGATATGAGCTAGATTATCAACACGTAAAAAAAAACTGTAAAACTGTATCATAATATTATTATGCTTTTAACATCATCTGTTGTGATATACATGACAAAGGGTTGGAAATGTACAGTAACCTTACTATATTGCAATTACACAATATTATGTGAACGACCCCTAACCCCTTATCTAAGGCTCTATAAGTATTGAATAATGATAACTGCAGGATTTCAAAATGTACAAGGCATCATATCAAAGATTGCATATGCCCGAAAGAAGGACAAATCCAATTTGGCTCTCTGGATGTATGGAAAGCTCTCAACCTTCCAGAAAAGGACTGGTTAACGGAACACTTAAATCCCTCCGACAGGTAATTATTATAAATAATAATTTAGTCTACACTTCATTATGTCAAATCACCTACCATAATGAAGAACTAAAATTGTTGTGTTACGTAACCAAGTTACGTAACCAAGTTTAATGTGACTCAATTTTGGTGGAACTTTAGAATTTGGACGTTATATCTATCATGTTCATCTTAAATCTCATATTATATACTCAATATTCAATTAAACAGACAAAGATAACCTCTCTAGGCCCTCTGGTGGTGACGTATAAGTGCTTTCTCAGTACTTTCTCTCGCTTTTGGACAAATCCAGTGAGTTAACTTTTTATCAGTGGTCGACCGGGGGCAGGATTCTGACCGGGGCCGGGGAGCCCCAATATAGCCGGGGCCGGGGCTGACCACTGAGAATTGGCCGGGGCCAGGGTTTACCCCCGGAGAATTGCCAATCTTTGGCTGGGGGTTGTGATTTTGGCCAGGGGGCACCGGGCGACCACTGCTTTTTATGTCACGATTTTAAAACTTTATTCATAAGTTTATGAAACATCAAAACTCTGCATGCTCTGCATTATGTAAAGTCAGTCATGCACTAGAGCACAGTTCACATATAATAACATAATCCAGCCTAGGGGAGGGGGTTTGAAATCGCTTGTGCTAGAGTGATTTATACTCAATAGCTATGTGAAAAGTGGCTCAAGGAGGGGAGACCGACGTAAACAATTTTGAATTGGTAGAAGTTAAGTTTAGGCTTTAATAAAAAACTTCACCGGACCGTTCCAAGCTGCCTACAAAGCTGGCAGGAGCTGTGCCGACCTAGTTTGGGCACAGAGCATGCTCATATCTGTAGTAATGAAGAAGGAGTTTGAATGGAACAAAGTGAGTATTGACATGTCAGCTGCCTTCAATACCATCCGCAGAGGTACAACAATCAGACTACTAGAAGCTGCAGGATGCTCCAGAGACGACCTGAGGCTTGTACAATACCTCATGGCTAACACCACTCTAGTAGTCAGAGTGTGTTCTACTGACTCAGAGATGTTCTCTTTCAACATAGGAGCCTCCCAAGGAGACAGCACAGCTGGTAAATTGTTTACCCTCAATCTAGCTGGAGCTGTAGTGCACATAAGAGCAGTCCTCCCCTCAACCCCCAACCCTCCGATAGCCGATAACCACATGCCTCTTGAGTCCGGCTATTCAGACGATGTAGAGGAGATTGGTGAAGATATGGAGGAGTTACAGGATATCTTTCAGATCTCCAAGAATATTCTCAGTGAATGGAGTCTCTTTGTCAATGACACAAAGACAAAGTTTACCAGAGTGTATTTAGAAGAAGTTGGTGCATGTGACGAGTGGGATAATGAACTAAGAGGAAAAGAGGAGTGGAGAAACGAGACGCTTCTTGGTACTAAGCTTGGATCAGAGCAGGATGCTACTAATAGAATGAATAAAGCTAACACCGCCTTCTGGTCATTTGACAAGCTGTGGTGCCAGGGATCAGAGAGGAGTCAGATAACTGAGAAGAGAAAGATCAAATCTACGACTCACTAGTAGTATCAGTGCTCCTGTACAACTGCTGCTGCTGGGCCGTACCTCAGCATGTTCTAGAGTCTGTTGATGTTGTTCAGAGGAAGCACCTCAAGCGCATCCTACACATCTATTGGCCTAGCTCAATATCTAACAAGGCCCTCTACGCTCGTACCCAGACCAGGCCCCTTTCCGAGAGAGTGGAAAAGGCACGGTGGACAATGCTAGGTCATGTTCTACGCATTGACAACGACACGCCTGCCTACCAGTCTCTGTTATTTGCTTCACTAGGATGTCAAACACTAAAGGGACGAGTGGGTAGACACAGGACTAATTTGTATGATATTATTGTGAAAAAGGACCTATTTAAGAGACAAATTTATTTGAAAAATGAAGATGATTTTACCAACTTAGTGAACTTAGCAAGAGATAGAGTAGGATGGAGGAGTTTATTTACTTTGAGACATATTGAACGAATGAGTCTTCGTAAGCGTAAATAGGCCAGCACTTTGCTGAGCCTCTTTAGGTGCTCTTTTGTTTATAGATGTTATTATATATTTAAAGAATATCATTCTTTTACCACATACATAAGACTTTGCCGTAGGGTATACAAAAATGTGACCATTCATCAATTTTCAGAGTGCTGTATCTGTACCCGAATAGAAATAAAGGATTTTAATGACACAGTTTTCTTCCGCTCTGAAAGTGAACGAATTACAAAACAGTCTAGAGAATTCCTCGCCCTGCTGCAGAAGATCAATCCTGGGTTGTGCTCACCAAAGCAAACCTCTTTTTTTGTGTATTCAGTGTCTTAACTATGTAAAAGACAACTATAACAGGGTGAGTGGTTTCCTCCTGTTTTACTAACATTTAAAAACATCAGGAGGTGACCGGGATTCCCGGTACCGGGATTGGCAATTTTGAGCTATCCCGGTCCCGGTCCCGGTCAAATGCTGATTTATTTATTTATGATCCCGGTCCCAGTCCCGGTCCCGGTTAATTCGGGATTCTTGGTCCCGGTCCCGGTCCTGGTCCCGGTCAATCACTCAAATTTGCCGGGATTTTGACCGGGATCTTTTACATAATTTCATTCACTGTGATTTTAAGTTTTTCCTTTCATTCATTGTGAATTTCATCTTTAAATATCCTCTGAGCCAAATACAACAATGTTTAAAATTGCTTAACAAGTTTGAGTAATAAATTATGATCATGAATTAACCAGTAATCGACCGGAATTCCCGGTACCGGGAATCCCGGTACCGGGATTGGCAATTTTGAGCTATCCCGGTCCCGGTCCGGTAAATTGATAATCTCAATTTTGAGCTGTCCCGGTCCCGGTCCCGGTCCCGGTCCCGGTCCCGGTCAAGTCACATTTTGTATCCCAGTCCCGGTCAGGCCTGAAATCATGTCCCGGTCACCTCCTGAAAAACATTATTATTCAAAGGTAAATAGACAGCGAGTAGTAATTTTTAATCCATTTCTATCGGATTTGCAAACTTTTAAAATGATATAACACTTGTACGATCTCAAACTTATGTGATATGATACTGTTGATATAAATGTGGGAAGTAATAAAGTATTTGCAGGTGTACAGTGCTGTTTCTGAAATTGACGAATCCTCTTGTGATGAAGATTGAAGAAGCTATTGCCATCCAAGTGGAAAAAGTCCCGCCTTTGTCACCCTCCTCGAATAGAACTAAGAAAATGTGGAGACTTTCTTCATTTAGTTCCAAATCAAGTGGACCAGATGTTGATTTGTTTGAAATGGACTGAGACTTGTGTTTCATATGCCAGGTTGAACAGGTTTGTGTGAAACTTTTGCTCGCAAATATAATTATTATACATATTATCTCGATTTAATTTTAAGAGTATGAGAGGTTATTCTTCTTTAACAATACGAATTTCCCTAGACGTTAGAAACGAAAAAGGATAGTCTGATTCAAGGAAAAGATAATAGTTTCTTCGTCGATTTCGCAACATACTATCTGTGGACATCTACAGAAATCGTCAGGATCTGTGCAACATCGATGTTAATCCTGATTCGCACATGAACAAGTGCCCTGTTCTTAACCCTGAGAGTCTCGGAAAATATCTCTATAGCAAGCTAGGTAGATATCACAAAACATGTCGTTTGAGGTACAGCAACTCGAGGGTGAAACAATTGAAGGGTAAATTATCTGAAGCTGTAAGTTTAAAACCTGTCTCTAAGGCAGGTTTTAAAATGGAAAGACACGTGTCCACGCACGACAACACCAATGCTGCATTAATGAGTGCAGGTATTGATACGGACCTTTTAACTGGAGCAGGAGAATGTTTTACCAGAACTGTACCTCGTGTCTGACCTGAAGCTTAAGTACAATGACTATGTGACGTCTAATTTATCTGAGAACGCTGCAAACTCCAGCAATGTTTAATCTGATCACATCAGTTTTCAGAAAGACAATGTCGGTAAGACGAGTTTGTTTCGACAGCAGGATCGTATCTAATCTTGCCGCAACAATAGATGCGGATAGAGATGATAACACTTTAACAAAGACAGCACTCTTAAAGGAGATTAGAAAAGAAATCTTTCAATGTAGAAACGAATTCTATCAGAAGATTTATCTTCAAAAACATGTTCGATTTACTGATCGGACTGTAGAAATATAGTGTTTATGTGGATTAATCTGTTAAAGCAGGGCTATTGTATCATTTTAACATTAACTTTGCATAGTGATGATACGTTTATTGTGTCTCTTGTGATTATCTATTTCTACAGTGTTACGGTACCACGAGGTTTCTGGCGCAGTGACGCGCTTTCGAGCAAATATCGTGCTAGATACGTCACGCGCCGCAACCGAATCAGATTTAAGTGCACTTTTTCCATTGTAAACACTACATACGACGCGCAACACGTTCTACGAGGTCGAAATTTTCGAGGTCTCTAACACCGGAATGGAGCAATATTTAGACGATCTGACACTTTCTAGGGCTTAAGCAACCTAAGAGAAATTAGGGGAACAACTCAGAAAAAATTTTTAGTCGATATTCCGGTGTCTGTAGATGTCCGAAGTTTTGGCAGTAAAGTGCTCACAACACAGCTTCTGAAGGCTCTAGAAGGTTCCCGATACCGTCAGAGTGTTCAGTACACTCCATTCTATCATATAAGAACCCTAAAAGAAGTCCCAGGGCTCTAGCAAAGAAGCGTGATATTTGCCCGTAAGAGCCTCTACTATTAACGGGTGATACTCGTAAAATATTTGTTTTAAATATTACTCGTCGACAGGACAGTCGACAAGTCCAACTCGGCGCGCGTCCTGGTAGGTAATAAACCTAAAACACATTTTCAACTTTATTCCAAATATAAGACCATTACACCAAAACCGTCAAAAAAATGTTGACGGATGTTACTCGTCTACATTTCTTCGAATTAGCGCGCACCGCTTTCTTCTCAAAATGACCGATGGCAAGTGCTAGGAAGCTAGTAGCGCGCGCCGGGCCAGACCATTAACAATGGTTAACAAAGAATTCAACTCAGAGCGCATCTTGGTAGGATTGTAATTGACGGATGTTACTCGTCTAAATTTCTTCGAAGTAGCGCGCGCCGGACCAGATCATTAACAATAGTCAAAATTGTAAGCCTACCGATTTTCGAAACATCGAAACTGAATCTGCAGAATTTCAAGAACATGAACAATTGTTTACTGGGCCGGGCCGCGCTCAGCCTGTCATTCCGCCTAATCTCTATTTAATGTTGTTTACAACATTAAAGCCTGGGGTCCTCAGGTAAAAAGCAACCTGTCAAATTTTTTGAGCGCGCACAAGGATTTAATAAAGTTTTGTAGGTTTATAACCTACCTTGTATCACGTTGCGACCCCCACGGTCGTTTCACCCTTTATCGTCCTGACGATACAGGGGAGCCGCGCACTTCGTGCGGGTCAACGTATGACAAAACCTACCAGGACGCGCGCCGAGTTAATTGGACTCGTCGACGGTCCTCGTCGACGGTAATATTTGGAACAAATATTTTACGAGTATCACCCGTCACCCGTTAAATAAAGTTTAGCTAAAGCACTTCTGACACAATAGCTTCTTCAAATTAATGTAATTTGAATGTTTAATTTTTGTTTGACGGATCTGATACTCGTCTACATTTTTTAAAAATAGCGCGCTCCGCTTTTTAAAAAAAAATTTTTTCCGAGGAAAGTGCTACGAATTCATATTTTACTTTATTTATCACTGTGATCAGAAATATGTCAGTTCATATTTGAACATTGAAGACTTTTCATTGTTGAGTGTCAGAGAAGCCAGCAAGAAGTTATAATTCCATTGTCATACCACAAAAGTAAAGCTGTCAAATCGTTTTTTATTTAACTCATGATTCCACTGCTATCAGGTACAAAGTAGATATGTGTAATTTAATGACACATCATTCAGTACAGAGCAGTGGCGTAACGTTAATGGCTGATTTAACTTGGCGCCCCCCGGCGGCTCGAAAAAGTTGCCCAAATTTTTTGAGTTCCTAAAAATAAAAAATTTAAAAAAAAAAGGTCGGGTACCTTTTTTTGGCGCCCCCTACAGCTTTTTTTTTGCCCCTGGAGCAAAAAAGGACCCCACAAGTTTGTTTCACACCGACTGAGCGCTAAATTGGACAGGGGGATACACCAGGGGCGACTTTTCGTTGAGAAAGGGCGCCTTTTTGGCGCCCCCTGAGGGTGGCGCCCCCCGGCGTAGCCGGGGTGGCCGGGGCAGCGTTACGCCACTGGTACAGAGTAGTTTTACTGGTACAGAGTAGTTTTATATATATATATATCTAGCCCTTTGGCTAGAGAATACTTTCTTGAATATTTTCGATAGTTTTTAATATTGGTAATATTTATGAATTGTAATTGATTGATATGTAATATTTAGGCCCTTGGCCAGTTTTCACAATAATATCTCCAAAAAAAATATTCCCGCTGCTAATTGCAAGTGGCCAGAGAAATTTAATCCGATTCTTTGTTTGATATATTTGCACAACATATATCTTAATAATATCAGATTTAGGTTCATATCAATGGGATGGCCTTGTTTAATTAAATTTCAACTCTAGTACCCATTTTGAGTCACATTAAGTTGGACTGAAGAATGTGATATGTTTATATCAATCTTCCTTTTGTTTCACTTCAGTCATCAATCACGTTCTAGTTAGCTTTTTCATTTCTATATCTGCCGCCCAGACTACGATTGTGTTCCGTCAAATATTCTCTCAACCTGTTCTTTTTTTAATGTCCAATATCACAATCTTATATCGAACGCCTGATCTAAAAATCGTTTGCGCAATACAATTACACACAGTTAGTGGTCACCTTTCCTGGCTATCTCTGCCCTGTGTCAGAAACAACTGTAAAGTCAATTTCGAGATAATTTTCGAGAGACCCCCCCCCCCCCGGCCCCCTTAAGGGGTAAGATTAAGGAGTAAGATTAAGGAGTAAGATTCAAGCCAAATAAGCTTAGAGAAACCCTCCTTCCTTTGTTACATGAGTTCCCTCAGCCCCCCTCTAATCTGCATACGTAAGGGCTTACAACAAATTTACCAGAAGCATATCATTATAAAATTATTCAAACAATATACACATAAAATAGCAATGACCCTATATAAAATCTACCCTTTAAGAATTAAAAAGTTTCCTAAACAATCAAAAATTACCCTTGGCCTTATGGCTCCAAGTTAAGATCTAGACTGTTTATATCAACAATGTTTTTCTCGCACCTCTGTCTCCACGGAGAGAAATCACTGTTGTTCTTAGGATTTCAAAGCAAAGGCGCTTTCTAATGTATCCTACAGCATCCGAGTACCTCTGGCCAGTGTGGTACTCCATCTTACTGGCCAGCTTCTTAACCAGTCTTTCAGCTTCACCACTCATTCCACCAGAAGTCGAGAAAACTAAAGGTGTGAAGCTTCCTTTCTCCACTTCAAGAACCCTTGTGTTGTAACATCGCTAACATCGCTTTTTATCATTTTCATGGGACTGGTACATCGCTGGGATCGATTTGCTTGCATTGGGGGGGGGGGGGGGGGGGGGGGGGGGGGGGGGGGCTGGGGCATGAAATACCCTTACATCAAAAAATGCCCTCTCTGAAGCATTCCAAATCGATCTTGCAGAAATGTCCAGCCTAGCTTGGTCTCCTAGGACTGTTCCCTTATAACAATAGCCATTTTCGTATTTGAGACTTGTTACTTATGACAGACACACTTATATTGTGTGATAGACACCCCAGTTGGATGATTTTAGAGGATACGCCTACAAAATCTCTAAAAAAGTGTGTTTCTAGAGCAAAACGCGCAGTTTTGCAAGTACTGTAGTTAAGTTTTTCAAAATTGTCCCACATTCAAACAACGATTTTGCGCCCCCCTAAGATGGCGTCCCCCGCACAGCAGGGTTGGCGGGGCCCTTTGTTTCGCCACTGCCACCCCCACTCCCCCTGTTTTGACCTTATATACAATACTCATGATACTGTACTTGTTCAGCATGGTAAGCTTAAAGTATTATTATGAGTATCTATGGTGTGCAGAAGTTTTGAACATTAGTCAAATATCTATAACTAGAGGCTAGGGACTGGGTGGCTGTTAAATCCCACTGTCCCCTAATCTAGGGAGATAGCTTAGGATCCGTTATATCTGTGCAAAGTGACACATCTGTGTAATGTCTCATGAATTTTCATAAAGCCCCCCTAGGTGTACTTGATTCAAGCCAAATTAGCTTTAGGAACCCCCCCCCTCAGTCTGCAAATGTAAGGGCTTGCGTCACAATAGCCATTCTTCGTGACAGACACACTGAAAGTTGGGGTTTCTACACAATTCGCTTAGTGCACATCTAGTGTACTGTATATTAAATTGGGCACTCAGTGGCCGGGTTATAAGCCCAAATTATGTATGTAACTGATTCCCCGCCCCCCCCCCCCCCTGCGGCCCCTCCCCAGTCCCCCCTTTTTGTTATTGTGACCTTAAATACAATACTTATGATAAATTGCATTTATTCAGCATGCTAAGCTTAAAGATGAAACCCCTGTAATGGACCACCAAAAAATTCTTGCATTCTTACTCATCACACTTTTTACATCTAGGTACATCTATATCTCTCTGAAAGGTATCATGGGAGAGTATGATGAAGAGTTTGTACCGAATGAGGATCTCTCAAATGTTATCCAGAGAATGTGGACAGAAGATGACAACAGAGCTGTGGTTGGCGACGATCTCGTAATCAACATGGGGAAGCGCACTTTCACCCGGGATCAGTCAGAAGATAGGTCATCAGAGCCTCTTATTGAGTATGTCAATGAAGAATTGTTCCAGAGAGAAAGCTACAAAAGATTCTATGATTTGCTTGATAACTATGAAAGTGCTGTTGGGGTTGAAGAGGTCATGACTCATATGGAGATCATTGAAATGAAGAAGTTTGTTGATGTAGTTGTCAGTAGTCGACCTATGAAAATAGCTCAGGAGTATCTGGTGGAGAAGAATTGGGCACCAGCTGACGAAGAAAAGTTCAAAGATTGGTTGTGGGATGTTTGGTTCACATTGTACAAGCGTGGTCGAGGAAGAGGAAGATCCACTGGAGATTCATCTGGTTTTGAGCATGTTTTTGTTGGGGAGATCCGAAATGGCTCAGTCATTGGGTTCCACAATTGGGTTCAATTCTACAGGTTTGTTAATTGTCTCTGTATTTACGCAGTATACACCCATACTTGTTATCAACCGTTTTACACTTGAATTCCAGCAAATGAGTATGTTTTGAATTGTGATTAGAATTTCTTTTATTTCAGACTAGAGCAGATGGGCAAAGTCGATTATCGTGGCTTTATTGGAGGGAAACGAAAGCAAGATGAAGAATTTATGATCACAATACAATTCTCTTGGGACGAAGATCTTGCTGATAATGATGATGGGGCCGTTAAGGCAGTGGGTGGAACCATGCTTGGCACATCTCCAGAATTCGAGATGGCAATGTATACCTTGGCATGGGTTTATGGAAAGGAGAATGATGTGGTCAATATTCCAGTTGCTATCGAGGATCAAGAGTTTTACTTGATTGCTCATACTTTCAAGGGGAAATACCTGGGTACATGTTTCACCTCCCGTACACCCCAGGTGGATAGAAGAAGATAATATCCCTATCAGTGAAACCAGATGGTATCTCCTGCTTTAAATCATTTAAAGGAATGGTCCGTCTTGAGATCTATGAACTTAAAAAATGCATGCATTTGTTAAGAGTTTTAATTGATAAATTTTAGCATATTGGGTTGTAGATATGTTTATTTTGTTACTTTTAAAGTTAGCTTAAAGATTGTCGAGTATTGTCTATGTTTAGTACAATTTTAAGAGCATCATTAAAATTGAGTACCTAATCAGTAATCATGATAAAGTAATTTATGTGTTATTGTACTGCCTGTAATACAGTAAGTGTTGTTGGGCAGTGCCTTGTTCCACTTGTAGTACCAGTTGGATCTAAATTAACAAGAATTGTCACGATCCTGATCTCCCTTATCAACTCTTTTTCAATAAACAGCACTTTCACAGTATATATATAGCAAATAAAGTAAATTTCTCTGAAACAGAAATTAAACTTTCACTGAATTAAATGTAAAAACAAACACAAATTATAGATTTCTTGAACTGGTCTACTGGAACGAGGTTGGCCCTTGCCAGGGCCTCAAGACTAACCTTTTATAAGCTTACGTTTGATTTATAAGACGGATAAAAGATTTATTATACTACGTTAAATGTTTCTGATATCAGTTTTTCCTGTCCATGATGCTGTAATTTTATTTTAAAATATAAATCCTTCAGTTTGAGATAATATAAACTATATGATGTAAAAGATTTTTTTGCTTTTTTCAATTCAATGATTACAGTTCAGCCATATTTTCAAGTTTATACAGGATATAAAACACTTTCTACCGATTGGTTATAAATCATAGTAAATAATCTAAGATGATCCTAAATTGTACATATTATGATAATGACGTTTTCTATAAATATTAATGGGTTGGCAGTTTTTAACTATAAGAATATTTTACTACCGCACACATTTCGATGTTGAGATAATTTTGTAGATTATTTTAGATTATGATTACGTTTGCATTTGTAGTTGAAGTTATTAAGTTTACAGTGTAATATGTAAAACTATATTGCAAAAATTTTATTTCAACCGAAATATAATTGTCTTACTCTAATATATACTTGATGGTGTCCCAGCTAAAGCTGAAATATATTCAGCTAAAGATCTTTATCGATATTACATACCATACTGTCTATAAAAATTACAAGGCTGAACCATTTATTGTTATGTTTATTATCCTCCAATAACAATTGACACCACTAGGATGGGTGATGGAGGATTCTTCAGAGGCACTAGTGCAAACCAAGATGCCAGGTTTCTTGACAAGCAAAAGAAGCTCAAGGCTCAGATGAAGTTTGATCCTGTTTTGGAGACCAAGGTGATCAATTTTCTCCATACCCGTTGGGACATTTTTATTTTTATTGTTACCCTACCCACCTATAATTTATATAACTAGCAACCGGAGACTGACAGACTGTCAAGTAGATAAACAATAGCGAAACTTAGTGAAACTTAGATAAACAATAGTGAAACTTGAAACGGTTAAACAAGTCAATACAGGTCGTTAGTAGGTTTCTTAAATGTAATCCCTTTAGATCGATATGGAGAAAGTCTCTGTGGATACTGTCAAGCCTTGGATTAACCAAAGGATTAATGAGATTCTTGGATTTGAAGACGAAGTGGTGATAGACTTCGTTTTTAACATGCTGGAGACTGAACGGGTATGGTGAAACTTTGGATCAATATAATTTGCTTTTGAAAGATTTTTAAAAGATTCTGAGAGCAATTGTCATTCATGTCGTTTACAAGTTCAGTTTATGGATAGCAAAACAATCAATTTGGATTCCTCATCGCTCCTATTAAAATAAATATGGTGAATCTAGAAACATATCGCTAATTTCAAGCATACTCTATAAGATCAAACCACTCTTTCAGCACCCAGATCCTAAAGAACTTCAAATTAACTTGACGGGATTTCTTCAAGCTCGACCTTCCAGAGAGTTTATGGGTGAGCTGTGGACCATGCTGAAATCGGCTCAGGAAAACATTGCTGGTCAGTAGAAGATTGTTGGCTTTTTTGTGATTTTTATCACATTTTGATTTCGATTTTATAGCTTGACCGTATTCAACATGTTACAGGGATTGATAACATTATGTGACAAAATTTGGCCCATCAGTTTTTTCTCCATAAATATTCTCGAACAAATTCTCTTTTTAAATGTGGACAAAATCTCAAAACATGGAGTCCAGAGTCGAGAAACACTTGTTAACACTTCATTAAAAAAACTTAATCAGGAATACCGACTGCCCTGTTGGAGAAGAAAAAGGCAGAGATCCAGCAGAGGAAAGAAGAGAAGAGCCGTATCGAGGAGAAGTTGGCAGAGAAGGGTGTCCCCCAGGACCCCAAGATCTCAACTACAACATCTGATTCGCTTCAGGAACAAGCTAAAAGAGACAGGATGTCGAAGTGAGTACGAAATTTTGTTTAAAAGATAGTAATCCTTGGTGGCTTTATTGACTGGCTTTTATTATTATTATTGGCTTTATTAATAACTTTATTTATCTGGCTTCATGTTAGCCGATTTATTTTAGTGAACAGAAAGTGTAGAAGTATTAACCTTCTCTCTTGTTTCTGAAGAAAAAAACCCTAAATTTCAGAACCCCCTCCCCGGAGCCACGTCGCAAATCCTCACCCAGTCGACGAAGGACTCGCTCTCCTCGCCGGCGGTCCCGAAGATCTAGGTCAAGAGACAAGTCGCGCCGTGATAGAAGCAAAGATAGAAGGCGGCGGCGCAGTCGTTCCAAAGATCGCGAACGACGGCGGCGACACGACAAAAAGGATAACCCGAAATCAGAAGGTCTTACTGTGGACGCCAAACTACCAATCAGTGCTGAATATCAATCATCCCCCGACAACAAACAAGGCACATGCTTTTATTTTGAGAATTTATAAATAATTAACTCACGAACAATTAAAACTGGGTTTCGGATTTTTTTATCCAATAAATATTTAACTGTTCACAAAATAATAGGTGACCCAGTAAGAAAAGAAAAGACACCATCCCCAAGTCCAGATGTGGAGAGATCAGATAAGAAATCTGACCCCGACAAAACCAAACGCATAACCCCGACTAAAGAAAACGAAATTCAGAAATCTCTTCTCTCGCTTGCCTCTAGGTAAATGTCAACGTGGATTATTGAAAATTTCCATGGGGAATTTAATTAGTTCCAACGTTACAACTATCCTTTGTGAATTGAGATACGTATTCTGTATTGTTTAAGCCACATATCAGATACTAGAACTTCTTCAGTTTTCACGTTTAATCTGGTATTATACGTCAGCGGCGAAACGGTCTGTCTCGCATAAATAAAAAGCCAATCTATTTTCGCGTGAACAATCTTCCGCATTGCGCGCACTGTGGACCAACCACGCATGCACTCTTACAAGGATCTTTCCGACTGCTCTCTGTTTTTCCTACAACATGCAACAAGGGCTCAGGCTAATTACAAAATAAACTAGTACGACCTCTTTCTGTAATGATCGTTCCCCTTCAAAGTTCGTAACTATGCTATACCCATATCAGCAAGAAGGAGGAGGGATCGGATAAGAAGCGTTATAGGAAGCGAGAGAGTGCCAGCAGCAGTGACGACAATAAGAGCCCACCACCACGTGACCGAAGTAAAGACAGGAGATTGGAACGAAGACGAAGGTAGATAAGATGCATTTTAATAGATGTATTTTGTAATTCTGTATCCTCACATCACAAAATAGCTGATTTTTTTACTAAGAAAATTTTACTCACCTAACATTATTTCCAGATCACCGTCTCCCAGACGGAGATCGCCCAGAAGAAGGTCCCCCTACCGCCGCCCAGCACCTCGATACCCCAGCCCTGCTCGCAGACCTCGCCGGAGAACACCTACTCCTCCTCGAAAGGAGAGGAGGAAAGAAAGAAGTGAATCTCCTGAACGTCCTACAGGTTTCTACCTGCTGATATTAAACCGACCTCTTTTTTCTACAAAGCGTTTGGTATTTTGTCTCAGATTTGGGAAATGCTTTTCAACACTGCGGATGTTAAACAAGTTTTCTTTTCGCAGAGAAGAGTGAAGACGAAACTGGTAAAGAAAGGAAAAAGAAGAATAAAAAGAAAAAGTCCAGGAAGAGATCGCCGGTTGTTAAATCAGCGTCAGAAAGTCCAGAGCCTAAGAAGAAATCCAAAAAGGTTTATATAATTCGCCTACCTTTTATTGTTCGTACATGTACCCAACCTCGACTTTCCTCCGATACATTATTGATAGTAATCAGTTATCACCTTGATACGAATTATTATTTATTCATAAGTGATTTCATATAGTCAGACTTAACATATCAATCTATCATTAGGATAAAAAGGATAAGAAGAAAAAGAAGAAGAAACGAGTTGTGAAACCGGCAAGTGACAGCGAATCAGAAGCTAAAGCGTCTTCAGATGAGGTAGCTTATTATTGTTGGAAAGATTTACTATCCATTTAGGATATATTAACTCGGATGCATTCAAACCTTCTGTACTTATGGTTAACTGTGTGTGTTAACTGTTAATATTAATTTAATGTTTATCAGAGTGAAGAATCGGAGCCTGAGCCAAAGCCAAAGAAGAAAGTGAAGAAAACGCGAACACCGACTCCTCCTGTGGAATCTTCTAGTTCTTCGGATGAGGAAGTCGTGAAGGAGAGATCCAAGGAGAGATCCAAGAAGAAGAAGAAGAAAAGTTCTTCTTCTTCTGAGGAAGCGAAGATAGATTCAGGTTTGCAAATCGGATGACGCACTTTTAGTGTCTACATTTGTTTTTCTCGATAAACCATGGGCATTCAAAAATTGAAATTAAATGACCAAAATCTTTTTTCAGTGTTATTTTGTATAAATCATTTTGTTGATTAACTAAGACTGATAGTTCCGATTGCAGTATCGGGAGTAAGTGATAAAGTCAATATATTGACGGTATGTTCTGCTGAGTGTAAAAGTGCTGCTCAGGGCAACCAATTAATAAGATTTTGTCAATTAGCCAGAGTCTAAGGCACTTGCCATTTTGTCGCCGTAGTAATTATCGAATATTGATGCTATGCCAATGCTATAGGTTGCATTAATTTCTTGTAGTTATAGTGCAGTGGTTACATAGCTTAATGGGAAAATAATCTTTAAGATTGTAAAGAAAATCAATCTTCAGAATCGTCTGGATCTGACTCAGAGCCTCCTTCTCCCGAACCAAAAAGGAAGAAAACGTCAGAGCCCTCTCCCAGAAAGTCATCATCATCATCTGATAGCTCTGAAGAAGAACCTCCCAAAAGGGCATCCAGGAAGAAAAAAGGAAGCAGTTCTTCGGAAGAAGTGAAAAAGAAGAAAAGGAAGCCGAAAAAAGAATCTTCTTCTGATTCTGGGTCGTCCTCAAGTGACTCAGACGAGGCAAAATTGCGAAGGAAGGCATTACAAACCTTAAAGAAGCGATAGCAGGAATTTGTTGTTTATTTATCGATATCACAGGGCATCAGCCCTGCTTAAATAGCTGGCTGATCGTACAACAGCGTGGTCGGGGAGGGTGCAGGATAAGCGAACATTAATATTTGATATCTGTTGTCTATTAATAATATTATAATAGGTAAGGTTAAGCGCATAGTACACGTTAGTTTTTCATCTTTACTTGACGGCTGTGATGATATTTTCAATAGATCATTTATTTTCATTTATAATCTGACGAATAAAGTTTCGATTTTCAGCTGTTTTATCATTACATTTACATCTCATGTACCCGGAAAAAAACTAAATTTTATTGGTCTTTTGATCACTGTTCAAACATAATAATACGCAAAAATATCAACTTATTTTAACTTACTATAATTTATTTCTACTTATTTCAACTGCCAATTCCGACTCTACTAGCAAGGCATATCAATGATATCACCGTTGTAAAATTAAAATTCTCGTAGCAATGAAACGAAGACAAGAATCCCACACCATTTTAGAATAAGTAATAAAGAGGAGATCTGGAGAAGAAGAAAAGGATTCTTCCTTCGAAAGCGTTGGGAATAAAACACTTTAAATTACAAGTGTAAAACGTCTCATGAGTAAGATGAAGGTAGGTTCTGTTTTTATATTGTACTTATCAGGGGAATGTTTAATTTGGAGTTGGGAGAATATACCTGGCACTGGCAGTCTCAATTAAATATAGACTGAATTTTACTCGTGGGGCTGAGTAGGTAAATATGATATGAGACGCCATCATTGATTGGGAAATTTAGCGGCCGCTCACATAGGGAATGCGGCCGCATTTATTATTTTCTTATGAATGTCCGACATATCTTTATTTCGTATAATATAAACAACAGCGTGACGAAAACAGACATGACTTCACATATTATTGTGTTTTTGATTGCTGAACAAATACTATACGATGAATCTTTCGTGCAAATCGTTATGGCTGCATAACAATTTGTCCCATACTAGGCTATTTGCCACAGCCCGTCTCCAGTTATTGGCTCAGGGTCGTTCATATAATTATATTACGTTATCACTTTTTGGCCAATTTTAATCACCCCTCCGTTATCAGTTTTACATGATATAGCTATTGTGTTAAAATTACACTAGCGTAGTTCAAAAACCTCTTCACTCCTCCTCAGTGATGACGTAATACTAATCTGCAAACGATTCCTTAACACACATGATTATCAACCTATAGATACTACCTTTCTACACATATAATAGTCATAAACATCCAGTTTTGTTGTTTTACTTAAGCATGTCTCTCAGTCCAAACATCCTCATATTGAATAAGTTGTATATCTGCTCTGCCTTTAGTTTAGTTGTCTATAAATTAATGTGTAAAATTGTCGTTATTTATATTAGACAGAGGCCACAACTTACCTGCATGAAGGGAACATTGCTGTGATAAGAAAAACAAAGATGCTAAAGATGAAGTTATTGAAATTGTTGCCTTTATCTGTATTGTACGTTTGGTAAAAGTATAAAGTCAAAATTAACAAATCATGAGACAAAATACTATTAAATATTCCATAATATTTTTGCACTTATTATCGTTTAACTTAGCTAATGTACAAACAAATAACGCCTACGTTTACTGTTAACGTTTAAATTGGACATAAATACAGAAAGAATGATAGTATAGTTTAAAGATAAGGGTAATGATACCGAAATTTTCCCTAAAAACTATCGAAATAAGGGGGATGAGGGGCGGGGGCCGGGGGTCTTCATCAAAATTATCTCGAAATTGATTTTATAGTTGTTTCTGATAGAGGGGAGTGATATCTATCAGCTACTTTTGGCCCCATGGAAAAATATTGTTTCAAGCCGAAATAATCGCCGGTCAAAGGTCAGCTCTTATATGTAATTCAAATTGTATTGCGCGTGCCCTGAAAATCGAGTCTAAAAATCCATCTTCTACAATTTTTAAGCAATCACACTGAAACTTTCAGGATATGTTCTAAGGATCATATGGCTGAGTTATGAATCAAAAACCATATGCCCATATTTGGGAATATGTACCAAATTTGATACATATATTTTGGCCCATTTATTGGTCAAGTATTAATATCTTTGAACAAGACCAAATTTACATGAAGGTAAAGCTAATCTATGCATTATCTGAGATTTATAGCTTGATATCTATAGAAATGTGGAAACTAAGGCCAAAAATGAACAAAATTGCCAATATCTCAGTTCCTGATTTTCGGGAAAGTGACTTCACCAAAAAGCCTAAGGCTTCTTCATTTTTCCAAATTGTCCTATGAAATTTTCAGGATAGGCGTAGAATCGTGTGAGGACCTTATTTATCGAGCCGAATCTTTGAGTAATAGGCCTTTAAAGAAATTTAGCGGCCAATATTTGAATCGAAATATAGGTATATTAAAATATATTTAAGTATATTTAAGTATATCAAAATATATTAATAGATAGATAATAAAGTATATTAAGGGGTCGTTCACATATTACGTAAGTGTATTAAAGTATATTAAAGTATATCGAAGGCGCAAAATTGGGAAAACCATCTACATTTCACTATACTTCAATATTAAAATATATTAAAGTACTATATATTAACTTAGTATATTGAAATATATTAAGTCAGTGGACATACGTTGGCCTCAATAGCTCAGTTACTGAGTGCCCAATTTTCTGGTATGACTTACTACCACCACTGGTTCGAGGAATTCGTCAAATCGAAAATATTCGAGTTCATGTTTTTCGAATGAAGGTTCATTTTTGCATTTATTTGATAGTTCGGCTAGTCGGATGGAGCTGAATTTTATTGACTTGTGTTTGGCTATTCGAATTACGTTTGTCCTGACAAAATTAGAACTGTAGCTTCTCAGATGACCGAGATATGAAGCATAACGAGTTTATTCATTACGTGTGATCAGGTGATTTACCTAATCACGTGATTAGGTGACCCCGTTAACCACCCAGTTAAACGTTATGGGAATTGTTAACTGTTAAGGGTGCCCAATTAAGGTGTCGTGTCACGGTGTCACATAATCACCCAGTCAATTTTGTTAACGAGATACAGAAAATGCTTGACAACTTCGTCATTTATAATCCGTTTTGCCTCATGTTTTCAGATCATATGCAACATTTAATAATAAAATACCGCCTCTGAAAAAATTAGGCGTTCAGCATGGTCAGAAAAAAACAATGTCTAGGTGTTTTAATATTGAATGGGCGTGGTCTAAAATATTTGAATTTTCAAATTTTGACGACGGAATCCTCGAACCAGTAAGTACAGTATGCCATCTGCAAAGCAACAGCTCTCAAATATAAAACACGGCGGAGCTATTAAGGCCAACGTATGTCCACTGACTTTTGGCCCACCCTGTATATTAAAGTATATCGCAGGCGGAAAATCGGAAAAAAACCTTTAATTGTAGTACATTTTATTTGCTTTCAAGAGATCAAGCATCGGTTGAATTGTTTCTAGAATCGCTTTCCCATTTTCACCCAACGTTCGTATATCCCTCATGGCATCAGTAATTGCTGTTTCGATATTTTGTGCAACAGATTCAGCTATATTCTCGCCGCCTGAAAATAGGAATCGTGAATTTTAAAAGAACTGAAAATTGACTTAATTTGTGAGTAAATATGTAGTAATATTAAGCAAGTTGTTAAAAGGTACCCTTTAACCGTAATGAGGCTGACACAATCATGTAATACTTGATGTGGGCCTAGTTAACGATTATGCTCAACATCGCCACACTTTTGCTACATGACCGATACCTATGCTTACGAGGCTTACTTCGATCGGAATTCAAAGTCGAAGAAGAAGAAAAAACAACAACACTTCACAAAAAAAACAACAACACCGCACTTCATATGATTTATTCTTTAGTATTTTTGTTTTTTTAACAGCACGGCAGTTCATGTCATTGTCATCTAAAAATTCAATATCCTTACCTCTATAATTATCTGCTCCGAATACATCTTTGTATTTAAATGTAAAATCAGATCTGTTGGCAACCAGCTGTAGTCTGATTACATTGGTCGTTGCGAGATCCGATCTTATCAACATATCGTTAGCCTTCTCGTACATATCCACTGTTTTCCTCATTGCATTTACTTGATCAGAATCATCAACAAATAATGATGTGTCAGAGATGTATCGACAAACATCGCCAATCATTGTCAAATAAAATATCTGAAATATAATAACATTATACATACTGGGCTTATCATGAAACCTATTTTTCCGTCCATGCCGGTTTTATGACCGTACTTGTAGGCCTTCCGTGAAACTTGAAAATTAATTGATACATGGCTTATTATATTTTATAGATTTAAATAAAAGAAACGGTTGTGGCCTTCAGTCCGTCAATACATGCAAAATGAATGGAAAATGAGTTTGTCTCACATCTGCCTCGATTGCGTCTCGACCTGTGTAGCTGGTGGCTAGTGTTGCTTGCTGACTTTTCACTTTTTGTTTCTGAGTTATTTGCTTATAATTATATTATAAACCATTTTACGTCACACTATAAATATAAATAATCCGAACTAGCTTTAAAATTATCTGATTTTATCTGATCTTACCGATTTTAAGTAAGGCGTCAAAGACAAGAGACTACTCCGCAGTGATTGCTGTTTTTCATTCAACATGATCTTGTAACCTGCTTCAATCACAATGCTGGCAAGCATGACCGTGCCTCTTATATTCACAATACTATTTACCCCCTTTACTATTTACCCCCTTTACTATTTACCCCCTTTACTTTTATAACCCTTTATTATTTTTCGGGCATTAAGACTCATCGAAAGTAGTTCAGCAGGTATATTTAAGTTCAAATCATTCTAATTCAATGTTAAAGATGACAGGAACAAGAAATAGTTATGTGGAGGTTTTTAAGAAATTTGCGCAAAATACGCGCCAGCATGTTATACGAAATTCGGTAAAAAACCCAAAATTGCCATATTCAGGTGCCTTAAAAACCATGTTAAAATTGAGTTAGAGATCTGAAACTTTGCAGGGCGTCTAGACGTTGACCAAATCGACTGTAAAAAAATTCGTGTTTCAGGAGTATCGGTAAATGGGTTTTCTGGAACCCCTGTTTTACGATAGATTGTCGTGATACATATATTCAGGGATAGACGCTTTGCCAGTCAAATGTAGTCAATTGTAGCCTGAATTTAAGTGTCCGGAGATTCAAAAGTATAAAAGATACAGCAATTTCCGACCACAGGTCTTAAAGATAATTGTTTACACTTCAGTTTCAATTATATCAAAAAATAATTTAACGTCATCATCACCACTTGATGACGTCATCAAATTAAGTGTTTTTAAAACTTGATTTTTGACAAAATAACAGCTTTTCAAACTGATTTTACACCATTAAGGAGTAATTTTATTCAAAATCTGAGGACATTTTCATATTAGATAATTGTTCAAGCATTCTGAAAATCTACCGGAAAGTTTCCCTACTTTGCTCCTTCATAAAGATATTTGCCATTGAAGTTAGTGCTTTTTTGAAGAATTATTTTAAAAACACGTCAATTTTGCGATTTAGTATTCTCTGGTGTTGGGCTATCCCTTGGGTTGTGGAGCTCAGTTCTGCTTCCTATAGGTATAAATTGTGTATTAGGCTAGTTTTAAAGTTAAAAATCTAAAAGTTGCACACGTGGGGACACGCCCAAATTGATTAAAAATTGCTAAAATCACTGAAAATTGCTGTGTTTACCATTTTCTGTAAACGTTGGTGTGCCGTTGTGATTACAGTTCTTCTTGAAATACTTTGAAACTTTGCATGCTTATCAAACTATATATAAAACACCAACACGCAAAAATTTACGGCGATTCAATATTGGATGCGCACGCAACGTCCGCTCATAGTTTGCACGTGCGAAAGGTGATAATTTTGCTCATTCGTGATTTCGATTAAATTCTGCTTTACCACGACAATTCAATGTCATTATATATAAATTTAATGCCAACTTGAATGAGTATAAAGTGGCAAATTCAGTCAGTGATCGACCGATATGCTTACCCAAACACAAGGAAATGTTTTCAAAGGAAAAATTTCGAAATCGTTGAAACTTCCTCCTTATTAATGAAGATATCAGTTTATATTTCGACTTTATAAAGTACCCTGACATTAATCAAAAAGCGATGATATTTGACCAAAACCCATAATCATGGGTAGAGTGGACCGCTGCCAGTGTCTCTCTTTCCCAAACAAAAGGAAATGATATTAATTTGATTGACCGTTCTCAAATGCAAAATGATACCGAGAATGAAATCGGTCGCTCGCTTTTCCCATTCATTCACGGCTTACGAATTGTAATAAGTTTCGATTGATTACATCAATCAGATGCTGTAAAAATCTCTTTGGGTTGCGTTCGGGTCGATACCTAGTATTTCGGGGTAAGGGTGGTAGTTATTACTTATTGAATTAGCTGAAGTTTATCGAATCTTTTTTGCCGAGTACAGCTGCCTTTGGGTAGTTCTTCTTAATCTATTACAATTGTAAATGAATGGGAAAAGCGAGCGACCGATTTCATTCTCGGTATCATTTTGCATTTGAGAACGGTCAATCAAATTAATATCATTTCCTTTTGTTTGGGAAAGAGAGACACTGGCAGCGGTCCACTCTACCCATGATTATGGGTTTTGGTCAAATTACAGCTACAACTTTATTGTATTCTGTGCCGTCGAGATCTTGCGAACAAGCTGCATCCATTACCTGACAAAAAGCAAGATATTTGTTTTAAATCCGTTCACAATCCCTCAGCAATCAGCAAAGTTTCAACCGCAACCCTAGTGGCCTAGCGGGTCTATGACGGACACATTGTAATATATTAATACACATTTTAAAATAAACTCAGCCTCGTATTCTATTATGCGACATATTTTTCATCAAAAGTGAGATTTTAAACAAGATTGTTGAATCGTCTGTTACCTTATCCCTGGCGTCAAGCATGGCAAGGTAGGGCTTCAATGCATCTGAAACAAAAATATTTCACTTCGATTCACCACTATGTTGCCGAGGATTTATATTTTATAATAACAACTATAACTTCTATCGAGATAATGTGGGTAAATATAGGATGGATATGCGGGTAATGAGATGCAATACATCTCATTTCTTAATACAAAACACAAATAGACGACTTACCAAGATCAACAGCTGGTGTAGGTTGAGATCCAATGACTGCGACAGAGAGCAGGGTTATCACAAAACGGTTCATCATTATAACCTAATAACCTGGTTGTAACCTGATTATAACCTAAAGATAAAACAGTTATAATATAATTTCATCAAACTTTCAGCCTTAAAGAACGATATAAATTGAATTCAATATTCAGAATCTAAATATAATTTTGAACACCAAATAACAATTTTTGCCCTCCCCCCCCCCCCCCCCCCCCCGTATTTCGACCTTTAAAATTTTTCAGCTCAAACACAAGGGTCCCCCGGCCCCATGTATAAATTTTGTAAAATTGTACACATTTTTCGAAAACTTATTGTTCTTCAAATATCATAAAATCGGTACGAAACGTTTTGTCTCGCCAAGCTGATTGCGATCCTGTAAAAATAACGGATACTTTGAAGTTATATTCAACCAGACTAGAATAACAATTTTACTTCAATTGAGCATCATATCAAAGTCTACTGAATCATGGCCCTATTAGCTTGGTATGAGCTTTAAGTGGCCTGGTATGCGTAGATAAACATGTTAAGAAATCCAATTTTGTCACATATTTAATTAGATGACCAAAAATCATTATATAAATTAGTTGAAAATAAGCACCATCTCAGAGATGTGAGCTCGGGCGGAACAAGCTAAGAAACATGTTACATAGACCGAACTGAAGAGAGACGACGCAGTTAACTGAACTTCAATAAACTGATACAGTGTTGTGGAACAAACTGAACCTTTTTAAAGGACTTGAACATTGTTACCTCAATTTAAATATTGAGAACAAAGCATGTGGAATGTGATGTAGGTATGAAGTGAGGGGTGTCCCGCCACTTTTATTAGAATGTGAGGAACGCAGGAATGTGAGAAATGAGGGAAACTGAAAGAAAAATTAGAAAATTTGGAACGTACTGTAGAGCTGTAGTTCCACACATTACCGAGCTATCAATTCTAAAGGACTCAACATTGTTACCTCAATTTAAATATTGAGAACAAAGCATGTGGAATGTGATGTAGATATAAAGTGAGGGGTGTCCCGCCACTTTTATTAGAATGTGAGGATTGCAGGAATGTGAGAAATGAGGGAAACTGAAAGAAAAATTAGAAAATTTGGAACGTACTGTAGTTCCACACATGATACTGTAGTTGGATCACAGCACAAGTAGAAAATAAAGTCTTCTACCTGGGCTCTCTCTCTTTCTCTCTCTCTCTCTCTCTCTCTCTGGGCTATAGTTCGACACGTACCGAAGTCTGACAGGGGTGATTTCTGGCGAAAGTTGACGAACTAGAATACGTGTCGAACTAGAGTACATGAATCGTTTTACCATTATATATTACTTATTACCTATACTATTTACTATTACCTATGACCTATCCTATACCTAAAAAAGTGAAATACTGTTCAAACTCCATAAAAATCCGCAACAACAATTAATTATTTCAGTTTGTGTTAATTAACTATGATATGACCCCTTTAACTGCTCCCTTAGCAATGAAACGAACACATGAATCCCAGATCAATCTCAGAAGCAAAAATAAAGAGGAAGAAAATGGGAAACAGAAGAAAGATTCTTCTCTCCAAAGCGTTGGGAAGATAAAACGTGAAATAAGAAATGTAAAACGTCTCATGAGTAGAGTTGAGGTGGGTCATTGCTTTGATCATTTATATTTTAGATTACACTTTAAATTAAACGGGAACATATAATGGATTTCTTTCATCGTTATTTTCACATCTATAAAATTCGCTGTAACTAAATTGTACTTCCAGAAAAGGGGGGGGGGGGGGGGGGGGGGGGGGGCCCCGACAGTGTCGAGGAGTTATTTTTAGGAAAACATGGCTCCGTCTCAGCCATTAATAATGGTAATAATTCCCAAAATGCTCAGAGTTTACCGCCGACTGTGGTTCAAGAAAACGAGAGAAGGCTGGAAATGTTGCAAAATAAATTGGTCAACACCCAGCAGTCAAAGATTTCTGACAAATACAAAATGGTTCGTTTTCCACTAATATATATATAAGGAGTCGTTCACATATTACGTAATCAGCCGATTACCCCTAATGGTGACAATATTTCGCAGGGAATGTGTGTCTACTCTCCACCAACACTCACATTCCATTACCATATCGATATTTCCGCATTAATTGGTCTCAAAATTAAATGAGCAATAAATCTTAAGTATCACACTGCTAGTTATATTTTCAAAACATGAATTCTAAGTGATTATATTCCTACTCTAGGTGCGATTCTTCGAAAAGAGGAAATTATTCAGAAAACTAAAGAGCGCCCGTAATGTCCACGGAGACGAGAGTCCTCAAGTCCAGAAAATTCGAGATCAGATCAATTATATAGTGGTAATGGCTATTTTAAATGAACGGTTTATTCCAAAATACATGCTATTGCCTGTTACGAATAAAATTCGATATCTTTCCACAGATTCCAAATATTCATTACGTGTCATCGGTTTCACTTGTAATTAGTATTACCCTCATTATTATTACAGTACTTTCCGCTGGGTGAAAAGTACATATCTTTACTTCCCAAAGAACCGTACACAGACGATAAAGTTATCGCCAGACAGGAGGAAATTCTTCAGTCCATCGCAGGTAATCTCCAAATAATTTCTTATTTTTTAACCCAATTTCCACGTGCCCACAGAAAGGGACATAAAAAATGTACTTTTTGTTTTAGTTTTCTTTTATACTATCCACTATTGTTTTAAGTTAAGATTTGGTTAATTAGGCAAGTATTCATTAATAACTTGGTTACCAGGGAAAGTGTTGATTAAAGATCTGGAAGACGCGTCTCAAGCGTCTTGGAGTAAAGATAAAAACGTGCCTCTCTCTAGAATAAAATCACTTCAGGTAAAACTAAAAGCTTTACATAATTTCCCACTGTACATAATTTCCCACTTTTTATGCTAA